TTTTCAAATAATTTTTTGCATTGAAAACTTCTTAAGATTTTTAAGGTAAAAGACTTAATTATTATTAAAAAAGTTTGAGATAAATTATAAATTTAAGAAAATATAAATAGGTACATATCACTCTTAAATTTCAGCCAATTTGGTTGAATAAAAATACTACGCGATACACGATTTTATTAGCTTAAGTAGCTTATGAAAATATTGTAAAATGATGAGGAGAAAGACGCTGCGATGTAGGGTAAGTTGGTACAATTTCAAACATGGCATAATTCTGAAATAAGATAAGAAATAAGATTTTAATACAAGTTTTGTAATTCTGTTCTTACGGTGTGAAGAGTATTTGAAAGTATCAAACAGAAGAAAACCACAAACTAAAACTAAAAAATTGAATTTTGTTTTGTTCAAATTGTACTACCTCCTAATTTCTCATAAAGAGACTTTTATAGGAAACTATATTATAGAATTTATATAGTAAACTTATAGTAAAACTACATTTTCATTAATCTTTAAAAAACGAGGATTTATTTTTAAATCTTACAGCCGTTTCTAAAAATTTATTATAATTCATTATTTTATCACATTTTTTATTTCAAAACATAGCATTGACTGTTTTAATTTTACTATAATGGCTTTCCCGTTCCGTAAAGATTAATCTCTTTATATAATATACGTATCGTCTTTATATAATCATCACTTTTTGTACATATGAAGAAGAAATTTCTTAACGCTCCCGTCGCCGCGCGTCGTAGTGAACGTCGAGAAAATAATGTATAATTAAATTGATAAAAGAACTGCATGTAGATAATTTTAAATTAAAAAAGAGAAAGAGAGAGCGCTGCGCGACATAAACTTGATTATTTAATCAAAACGTGAACATCTTTCGTCTTTTTCAGATAACGGCGGAACGGAGACGCGAGTGTTGAACGTGAATAACGTCACTTTCACATTCCCGTCGTCACCGTTGTTGACCCAGGGTGACGATGTGTCCCCGGGGATTCTGTGCAACAACGACGACAACGAGGACGATCTCAATGAGAGCAACGAGACCGTGTCGCGACGACGATGCCGTCAGGTCGGCGACGTCGGCACGGGTGACATATGCGAGTGTGTACACGTGCGCCACGTGCCACTCGGAGCAACCGTCGAGATTATTCTCTTGGATCAAGGTAATTAGTCTCATTCGAGCGTGATTAAAGTGCAAATGCGACTCGTAATGTCGCGTGTACGTTCTGATTAATTTGAGTTGTCCGTGTTTTTCATTTTCTCCCCCGTTTCTATCCATTCGAAGCCTTGACGTTTGTCCAGATTTTATGATTAGAAAGCCTAAACAAAGATATAGGCAAAGATAGATTTCTCACACTCACAATTTTATGAGTTTTCTTCAATTTTCTTTTTTCATCTGTATTATGTACTTTTCTCCAATGATAAAAATATATCTAAATAGCACAAAATATTATACGAACATCTTCGAAAATACTAATATACTTAATCTTGAAATATTTAAATCAAACGTTTTATGAATATATAGAATACATAGATCATAGAATATTTTATTCAGAAATTCATATAATATTTGTAATATAAAGAACGTTTCTAGAAAGTTCTTCAGAATATTCTTAGAGTTAATGAATTGCACACTGCGCATGTGCAGTTCATTAACTAACTGCTGTTATTAACTAACTACTTTAAACTGCTACATACTAATTTCATCATACGAACAAAATTAATCCCAAACGTATATAAAAAAATGTAGACGTATAAAAATTTTGTTTTTTATACAAAATCACATAAAATGTTCTATGTACATAAAACATTTACATTGTCATTCTAAATATTTTTTTTTTTTAGAATATATAAATATTCGTAAGATAGGTATATTTTTAGAACATTTATAAAATTTCGTGCTATTTGGGTATATTGAACTGTAATTGAATAACAAATAATAAACTAGTATTCTATATTCAACAATACTCTATGATTTGGAAAATTTAAAGACACCGAAAAAGATAAAAATAATTTAAATACATTTCTAATTATTCTTAGCATTTTATGATTTACATTTAGAAGACCATTAATTCTTTAGTCATCAAATGTTCGTAACATTAAACTTTAGTTAGAATCTTTAATCAACACAAGGCAATATAAATATATATATACATATATATGGTATACGTTTTTGAACATGGCCGGAAATACTACCGCGTCTCCTGATATATATATTAATATGAAATATGACAAGGTTACGGTAGGAATTCATTACGCAATTCGTTTGAAGACGGTCTTCTGCGTAATATTGTTTGGCGTAGCTCATTAGTTTAATTATTACATAGTCTCTTCAAACACATGCTTAGGGATAATCTTACAGAATGAATGAAGCAGCATGTGAGAGAACATTAGCAGCATAATAGAATGTACGTTTGATCCCGATGCCTCTATATATCTTGCACTTGCTGCGAAAGCTAAAGTTATTGATGAAGGCTCTCATCATCATAAATCACTTTTGATGAGGGAGGTGTATATTATTCGCTTGAAAAACAATATTTGTCGCGTCATCGCGATTTCTTTTAAGACAATTGCGACAGCCGAGAGAAATCCCGAGACTTCCGCTAACAGCACGTGGAACGATTGGCCTCTTTCATAAAGCTTCGCAATTATACGCGAAACTAATTTCAGCATCGATTCTCGGTTCGTGATATTTCTCGTGAAATTATCTTCATCCACCATTTGTTCAAGAACCATTTCCTACACAACGTGATTTTTTTCGTAGATTTTTTGTCAGACCTGTTCATGCTACAAATATTTTTTATATAATTTAGTAATTTTACAATTTATATAAGTCAGTAGTTATATATTTTTAATATATTCAATATCATAATATATGTAGTTCGATATATCATAAAATAATTCAATATTATTAAAATAATTTTAGCTAAAACACCACGAATAGTGGTAATAATTTTTTGCTATACGTACAATAAATTCTAATCAATCAGAATTATTGTTTTGCTACAGGCGGTTTGGATGATCTAGTTTACCATCTACACGGCTACAGTTTTTACGTGGTGGGTGCCCGGCAATTTGGGCGAAGTATATCACTCCAAGAGGTGAAAAAACTTGATGAGAGAAGCCAACTGTTCTCGCGGAATCTCGATTGCACATTAATCAAGGATACCATCGTCGTGCCTAAATTTGGTGCCGTGGCGCTGCGGTTTAAAGCTGACAATCCAGGTAAACTTTCGTTAATTAAATTGATATAAATGTTTAATATACAGATCAATCTAACAGGTTCAACTGTTAATTTGATAACCTTTTTGTTCAATTGAAGATAAATTCTATTGTTAAAATATACAAAGATATCAGCAAATGATGGAATTATATTAGCAATTATTAGAAATAAAGTTTCTCGCAAGCGAATTCCAAATTGTATAATAAATAGCAAAACTTTTAACTTTAATTTCAAATCTTAGTTTACGTTAGATATTGCCATTTTAACTCCGTTAATTATTATAATTTTTTCTTGTTTATATTAAATATACAGAACAGAATATTAAAAATATGTAAATATATAATACAAATAATTCTAATATAATACAAATAATACCAAAGTAACTTTTCACTAACCGAAAACAAAAATAGGAAATTTTCAAATTGACAAAAAATCGATTCTAATAAAACTATCAACTTACCAACTCGCGTGTGATACAATTTTTATTTGATTTCGTAGGTTATTGGATGTTGCGGGATGAGCACGCGACTGATTGGACTCGTGGTTTAGATATTATCTTACAAGTTGGGGAGCCTAGTGATATGGTAGCGCCGCCACAGGACTTTCCCAAATGTGGATCCTTCGTTGGACCCGATTACTTCCTTATATAGACTGCTTAATCATTAAATATATAATATATAATTGTATATAATTGTATATAATAACAGTGTTTCGGATAGGAACTACTTTTATTATTAAATAAACTTTACGAATTTTTATGAATAAATATCCATTTATGTTCGCTAATTGTTTGAAAATTATCCTTACACTATTTTTCTTGAAAATCCGATTATCGGTAAAATTTTAATTGAATGACAATCTCCTTACAACTTCTCCATTTCCAACTTCAAGAAACTTTTTTAAGGATATATTGATTTATAATTTAAATTTAAATTTAGCTCTTAATAATTTATTTCAGAGAATATGCAGCTTAACGCATAGTGTAACTTCGTAATTTTCAACTTTTAACAACTGACTTTAAGTAACGTATCATGATGGAGAAGCAGTCGTAAATCATTTCTGAATTGGGTATCTGTCATGGAACTAGTTGGAATAAATTCCTATCGGAATTAATTCGTTTTTCTTACTCTCTAAAGTCTTTAGAATAGAATCTTGCACTAAAGAATAAAAATTAAATCAATTTTTAAACAAATTAAAGGATGAATTATCTTATAGGGTAAGATTTTATTCTTCAAAGTGAGATTCACTCTAAAAATTTTAGAGAGTAGAAAACTATTAGAGAGTAGAAATCTGAAGAACAATTGAACAATTTCGATCGAAATCTGTTCAGAATACTTCTATAATACACATAATCTATTTTGAATATTATCTACATATAATATGCATAATTCATTTAGGGCACCTATCATGGAACAAATTGGAATAAATTTTTGATCGGAATTATTCCGTTTTCTCTAGAAAATACAAGAGAAATTTGAGGAATAATTAAATAATTTCAATCGAAATCTATTCTGACTTGTTCTATGATAGGTACTTTGAACACTTTGATAATATACATCGACAAACGGAATTAGTGCGCGAATCAATCGCGAATATATCAATGTTTCTGTCGACACTCGTTTCCTTCCTCGAACAAACGATAGGCGCTATACGGTTCATTTCCGCGCACGTCAGGCGTTTCGATGTCTGGGTGTAACTACTATAACCGCGATTCGTTCTTTCGCGGTGACAGATAATTCCGAAAAGCCAGGCTGACACGTAAGCCTTGTCAGTAATGTCTTGCCTAAGCGCGTTGCACACGCAGATAGGGACCTTGTTTTCCGTGCCCCACGAGATTCTACTTCTGCGACACAAGGTTTTCCGTGAATATGCGAAAATCGCAGTTGGGCCAGACTTTATCCACACCCTGCCATCCTTCCTAATCCTAACAGCCGTGGTACTCATCCTTTGGAAGAATCCTCCGTCCTCCACGCGGATTATGAACATCGTAGGAGGGACATTTATTTACAAAATATTTCAGGTACCAAAATCATCGCATTTCACATGTTAGGGCTAATGCCCTTCTGTATACACGTGCGTTTTTCAAGGTGTCAGTTAGTTGGCTCGCAGTTAATGCGCTTTTATGGTTATGGCTGATCCTCCAAAGGATACTTTATTGCAGCGTCTGGCATTATTGGAGTTACGTGAGTGGACTCATTATTATATTATTATCTTTTTGTAACCAACAAAGGAATCGCTTTCGTAACGCTTGAATTGTCCGCTTTTATGTAAGAGAAAATAAAGCATGTATATGTCGAAAAAGAAGAAACGATTTTCTAAAGCTTATCCCGAAGAATAAAATATTACAGTATTTCGTAGAAGTGAATTTTAGTCTGAATTGATTATTATAATTAGTATAATTGTGAGAGAGAGTTATTATAAGTCTATGTAAACTAATTACTAAGCCTAAAATTAGATAATTATTAAGTTAATTATAAAATGTAATTAATTAAATTTACTATATAATAGTTAGTTTACACAAGCTTGAAATAATTAATTATGCTAATTATGATAATTAATTTAAACATTCTAAGTGATATAATATTTAAAAAATTTCTATTATTGATAAAGGAATCTGAATATCGTGATATTTCATATCCCTGGTGGCAACATGTCTGGTCTTCATACTATCCTGTATCCATACAGCCACCGATAATGTCGGCCTGTTTTATTAGTTGGATTATCACGATGACAATTGCGGTAATTGCTTTGGGATGTGCAAACTCTACAGATCGCGTGGAAACGTTTGTTAAAGAATCTTTAGTTAAATTTTGGAATGCGCTTGCAATGGTTAAATTATGTATGGAATGGTCAGAGGACGGGTTAGTATTGCAATTTGTGTTTTAAAATGATCTCCTTTCGTACATTAGCTTTCGTTGCAGAAGCAGAAAATAAAATGAGGAAAATAATGTTGTATGTGTGTGTGTATCACACATATTTTTATTCTCAGAGCGCAAGAGGAGATACCCCTAACTACCGAAGCGAACGCGATATTGGACGAGGGCGAAATGAGTATAGTTTGCGACGACGACCGCTTAGAAATGTCGAATGATATAAACAACGCGCCGCGTGGGGATATACATCCGATTTCTTACGGAACGAATTGGATGCCGCAACCAAATTTCTCTTCGTTCAAGGAAATGCAGCGGAAAATGTCAATGAAATCCTTTCAAACCGTGGCAGGCGCTAATGACGTTCAGGTAACGATGTAACAATAATTTTGTGTGTGCGTGTGCGTGTGTGGAGAGAGAAAGAGAGAGATCTACCTCACATTTTATTACTCCCTGTTATCTTTAATTTTCTAGTAAAAGATAATATATTTATGTACATCAATAAGATTTTTAATATTTATGCCCCAAAAAAAATTTATAAAATTTTTTACACAAGTATTTTATACGCGCGCGTGTAATAAAATGAAAATTTTATTTTACTATAAAATTAGTGTAGATAGAGGAGTCTGTAAACTGAAGTCACTTTTTTAAGACGAAAAGTTCTAACATTTTAAAAATTCCACTAAAATCTTAAAGAAAAGCATAATTGTGTTTAAAAAAATGCGACTGCAACAATTAGAATTTCAAAAAAAGTCTTAATATGATCGCGACCACGGATTTGGTTTTCAGGATCCTGATAAATTCGCGACTAAGCAATTGCGAAACCGACGCGGCTGTCACACCGTGATACCGAGCAATTCCAACGAGCAATCAAGCGAATGTTGAAAGGACTTGTCAATGTTCATTGAACATCGTCATCGAAGAGCTCTTCGATTGAGCAATGCTCACTGGGAAAACGCATTCTCGAAACGTATTCGTGGCGCGTCAATTTCGCAGATAATATTTAATTTACATAAACAACGAGTCGGCACGCCGCGGCATTTATATATATTGATAAGATTTTTTTAATTATCTAACATTTATGCTCCAAAAAAATTTATAAAACTTTACAAAAATATTTTATACGTATAATATGTAAAACCAAAACTTCATTTTTGAGATTAAACGATAGTCGAATGACCATTAAAGAAATACAATAGTTACGTAAAAATAATGTGCGTAACATTACATAAGGTCGCACACATGCTATCAATTATATTAATACAGTATGTGTATGTATATAAAACTTTTTTACAAATAAATGTATACATTTTTAATATTTAGTTCATATAAATTTCTCTAATATTTATATATATTCTTTCTTTTTTCATATTACAGATTTATAATAAACTGTAATACGTATATATACATCAATCATCCCAAGCACTCAATATAATGTTTGTTGTGATGATAATTTTATCGATAACCTATCAATATGGATTAAAATTTTTTATTTTATTAATAACGTTAAGACTAAGAATTAAATATAATAAAAGATATTATTTATATATTCACCATTAAATCTGATTAGAGTACATTATTTCTTCAATATTTTATAAATAATTTTTTTAATATTAAAATTTTATTTTTTCCACGAAATTTTGATCAGATAAATAACAATATGTTATGAATCGTTTTTATTAATTTCGTAGAATGTAATAAAAAATATTGTGAAAAGTATCATGAAAAAAAGATTTAAGCTGTGTAAAAAAAATAAATTAAACGATGACGATCTCCTCGTTAGTATCTTTAAAAGAGCTTTATGAAGCCCGATATACATATCAAGCCACCCTCTTCAATCCCTTTGATTATTTATCGAGTAAAAGGTCCTGCCGCCTCCGCCAGACCCCAGGACTCCGTCACCTTGCTTCGCCGGCTAGGGGGATGCGCATTTCTGCGCATGCGTCCGAAAGGGGTAACATTCCCCATCTTGAACCGGAGCATTATTCTGTAACTACAACCCTTGTGAGGTAGGTCGCAGATATTCGTGACCAACACGACGTACATCAATAAACCTCGTTCATTCCGAAAGTGCGCTTTTCGTTACATCACCCTTGGCAAGTGAATACCCGTGACTCACCGTGGGATCGATTTCCGGTTGGGAAAACCATCTTGGAAAGATTCAGGAGAGAATTTGGTCTTTCGAAGCGGAATCGGGCGTGAACGGTCCTACGCGGCGTAACTAACGTCTGCTGCCTTGTACGATGTGATTATACGCAGTATTGAATTTTGCGACTGTTACCAGACACAAAAAATCGACGGTCACGGCTGCTACATCGGAATTTTGTGAACATTCCTTGGTAAGACGATCAAGATTTGAAAAATCATAATAAATTTAGATTTTCATCAATTTTTTACATAAACATCGCAGCAGACTGAGACATGAAAATATTTGCATTCGTTTCGTTTGTCTGAATGATCTAAATGCTTCTATATCTAGAATTTAGCATAAATAAAATGATGTTAAGAAAACAAAAACTTTTTTCATCGCGACTGAGACGCGAATTATTAACATCTAATTACATCAGGTAGTAAATAAATAATTATACTTATTATATATATAATATTAGAAAGAGATTGCACAAAGTTATGCATCTGAGAAACGACAACGCTGGTAACGCAATGCGTTGTAATTAATAATGAACCTAAACAAACCATAAACAAACCTAATTCAAGTACCTGATAATCGATAAGCATGTAATGGATCAGGATTATATTCGTACACGACCTACGCGATTCATTTAACGATTAAGTATTTCCCTCGCGCAGTCAAGCGCATGATGCAGCAGCTGCATCGTCATCTCATGTAAGGACTATTAATTATGGCAAGAATGAACGTAGCATTACACTATGTACGTATTATAAATTTATAAATTGTAATTTTCAAATATTGTAATCCTAGTTAAACAAGAGAAAATTAAATTATACTATTGAACATATTTATTTCTTTTTCAATTAAGCTGTAATTATCATCTAACCTTTGTATATGTATGATCGTTTTTCATAAAAGAATGTATGATATTAAATTCATTCCTTTATTAGCTTATCTTTAAAAACATCAATTTGATTAAATGTAGAAAATATTAAATAACGCAAATTAACTTTGTGAAGTTAAACAATACTAAATATAACTTCATTAGCACGTGCTATAAAAATAAAGTATTAGATTAGGAAATAATTAATTATTAATTTTATCATCTGTTTCAGAGAAGAATTATAAAAATATGTAAAGAATTTAATGCCTCTTTTGCTGAAATAATATTTTTAATATTTGTATAATTTACTTTTTATTTATTATAAATTACGTAAAGTACTTATATTTTCAATTCAACACGATCGCGTGTCGCTTGAAAATTTATCTTTCACTTCGTTATTAAATTCTCTGCGAGTTTTTATTTTTCAGCGTTTCTATATTTTTTACGTGGCCCCCTACCCATCCTTTAATTCAAAATTCCCGATTGATTCCAGTACTAGTACAATCACGTTCTGACGCAATTGCAATCCGATTGAGTATCAGCGACCTCGACGTTGCGACGGGTCCGAATTTTACGATGAGATTCACGGTCCACGTGTGTACATAGACGCGATGTAAACTTGATATTGATTTTGCGTCCAGCATCCATGAGCGTGGAGCACGCGCACGGCCAACGACGCGCGCGCGCGCGCAAATAAACGCAAACATATGCACGTTACATACACACAAGTACGTAGGCATGTGTATATATTACTTGGCACGTGCACCCCCTTCATTGCCAATCCTGAATCGAGTGGGTTACAATAGTAAAAGAAATAGGGAGAGAATTCCTGGAGAAGGGAGATGAATGAGAATGAGCGAACACACGCGATATATGAGCAAACATGCGTGTAGCTACGACAATACGCACGAATGGTCGCGATACGTTACGTTGAATAGGAAACCGGTTGCATAGGTTCCGCACTGGTCACCGAAATTCAAAGCACGGTTTTGCGAAAAATATAAAGCTGTCGAAAATACCAGAATACTGCAATCCGGAATAAACAAATTTGGCTGAATGATTATCTCTATTATCCTTTCTGATATGGGTATAATAGAGGGAAAAAAATGTAATTATAGGTAGTTGAATTCAATTAATGCGATGTTGACATTAAATTAAAGCAAATGATTCTTAAAGATATCCAGAATTGCAAGTGGAAATTTATCTTTCGGTTAATTCAATGTAAATTTGTTTTTTAATGTAAAAAATTTAATCGCAATATCAATCACGAATATGTTGAATATTAAAAGTTAGTGAAATGTGAAGATGATTCTCTTTCCGAGAAAAAAATATGATTTTAAATTGTTTGAAAAAATATAGTAAAAATAACAAGTAATAGAATATAAATATAAAAAAATATTACTGGAGGACTTTAATTATTTTTATGTTTTTCTGTGAGATTAAAATTCGTTTTCTTTTTATAAAAAAAATATTATTTTACATATATAAAAATTGGCACAATATAATTGGAAAAAGTATTCTGCAGATTGTACTATAATTTTGAGATTAAAAAGGAAAATTAGACGCGAGAGATATCTGTTATTACCGAAAAATTTTACGAGAAATGTTCTATGTAAATTTAATGTAAATTTAGAAACTGTTCTGAATAGCTTGATATAATCTGTAGCTTTAATAACTTTATCATTTTTAATGTAAAATTTAAATTTATCTTTTTTAAAGAAAATTAACATTTTATATATATAAACATATTTACAACAATCGGAAAAGTATTCAAATTACAACTTTAAGAATTCTAAATTTAAATAACTAATAAAGGATAAATGCATTAAGAGATATATTCTGTTATTCTCGAAAAATCGAAATACGAGAAATTATTATAATATATTCTTTTGTATTATATATTTTTAGAAATTGTTTTGAAAACAGTTATGATACACAGTACTGAACACATTAAAAATTCTACACTGTTATTAGAGCAATTCATTTTCAGTATACTTGTGCCATTTAACATGATATTATTCAAAAGGTCAACGAGATTATGTCCATATACATTACATATGCTCTTTACAAACTATCTATTGAAAAATTGGAGAGGTAAACGAAACTTAGTAGAGTTTTATCGGAAACACAACCCCTGAACGACACTAGTAATTGCATACTATGCAATTGCGTGCTAGGCTTTATCAGAACGTAGGCGGAGAAATTTACTGTTATAGCATCGCTTTTTTCCTCCGAATGTAATAGAGGTCATGGCGAAATGTCGGTGTTGGAAAAAAATATGCATATGTATCACTGCGTTCTCGGAAATCTAATCGTCGCTAATATCCAATTAATTTGCATTGAAAGAAATTTGCATAATTGGTTGAACCAAAGAGGTATTAATTATATGTATTATAATTTGCGAAATTTTATAAACTGGTAATAGGAGGAAAAGGTAAAAGTTCTATAGTATCTCTCTTTCTGAAAGGAGCTTAAAGAAACAGAAAGAAACCTAAATATTTCGAAAGTTAACTTTTAAAGAAATTTAAAGAGATAAAATGTTTAAATGCATATATAGTTACATTAACTATATGTGATTTTGAAGATTAAATTCTATTTGCATAGAATTAATGTTTATAACGTTTTATTTATCAACCTATTTTTAATTTTTCACAAAATATTAAAAGAATGAATATAAAGATTTTTATCTTATATATATTCTCTACGAAGTATAGTAAGACATCGCGTGTCCTTTCTAGCGGAATTATTACTTAACTGCGTTATTAGATAGGACAAAATCATGATAATCGATCGCACGAAGGCCATAAGAATTTGCGTTTCATCCTTCCAATTACGTTCAAGGTCTGCCTTAGAGTTTCCTCCTATAGATAC